GCTAGCATAATAATCATTATGTTACAGCAAGTATAAATGTCACTATAGTGCATGAAAAAGTAAACATTAACAACAAGGAAAACTGGTATCATAAAGGACCTATATACTAGTACATAAGTCCCTGGCATTGCCATCGACAGTTTACAGATATGTGTCAAATGTGTTCGATTTCAATGTGATTTTGACCATCATTAGAGAAGAAGTTTTCGATAGAAAATCAAGTCGTAAAAATATTTTTAAAAAACGATCAAACTGAGGCGAAAAAAATAATAGATAAAATAAAAAAGAATACTGCTGTTTATATATGAAAAGGCAATATAGTTATATACTAAGTCATGTCGTCTAAATCTTTGCAAGTATCAATATGAACAACAGAACTGCAATTCCTACCTATAGCTGCCTCAAATCTAGCATTATTTTTTCTTATAGAAATTTAAGATAAAAAATAAAATACTAGTAATTCTAGCTAGGTGTAGAAAAGTTTTTATTTTTAGGAGTTGTAATTTGATATAAAAAGAATATTTGTTTTCAAATATATGAACCAATACTTCCATACTGTGGTCTGAAAACGATAATGTATTTTTGTATTAAAAGAGGAAGGGAGTCAAAGGAAACAAATATGAAAGAACATTATGCGATATTAAAAAAGTAAATCTTGTTGATGTACCCGACTTTAAATAAATATCTTATTTCATCAATTAATTTCCTGGAAATAAATTTCTAGTTTATAATGAATCTCGAATTTACTTTGATAGTTATATTATAACCTCAAATATAAAATTGAGGTTGAAACTCAGAACATGGATAATTGCGTGATTTCACAGTGTAAAGAATTAGATAATCTGTAAATTATTTGCTATGTATATAGTATTGTAATCAGTTTTTCAACAATAAGACTGTTTTCAATGCTTGGACATTGTCCTTCTCCCAGTATGACCTCTCTTGTTAACAATGTTGTAATCTAGTTTAATCGAGATTTACCTAAGAAAAATGCCTATGATATAAATACACAGTGTTATCCCTCAGGTGTTTTTTTTTTTTTTTGAAAAATAGCAAAAGTAGTATTAAGAACACCTAACATGCTCGGTGTAATCAGTAGCTAACAAAACACACAAGTGCATCCCCAAAGAAAAGAAAACAATAATGATAGTGTACATAATAAGCAAACTGTATGGGGCGTCTTGGAATTAATTAGGCAAGCGTCTTCTATGCTTAACTTTTACAAACATAGACCATCATTTATTTTTCTAAACTTCGCAAACAACAAACAAGTAAAACAAAAGTAAGATTTCTTATATTAAAAAAATACTTGTATCTATATCAAATCTGCAACCGAGGATATACCGTATTTATGGAAATTTTAGCTAGACGCAAATTTAGCGATTTAATTTTTTTTAGCGAGAAGTAATTTAGCGATTTTAAAATGCTCACTAAAGAGTTTATTACAAATAAACCGCTTTTTTTTAAAGCGATATTCAATTTAAGATATCTAAGCACCCACGCTAATAATGCTAAAATGAAATCCCCGCTAAAAATTCTGTTAACACGGTATTAGTATATTACTTACCTTACCATCCTTTTCATTGCTTGTAGTCAACGTTAGCAGATAACTTTCGTATTTCATTGCACTATACTTAACTAGTACTTAATAATTAGTACAGTTCCAATTTCAAATAGAACATGACCTCCAATAGTTTGCGATGAACCTCCAACGATGAAACAACTATATAGAACGTACAGTTTACAATACATCTGACAAGATAGAGAACTATTGCAAAACGACAAATATATTCTTGGTGAACAATTACACAGCGGTAGTCAATGCTGAGAGAAGAGTCCTTCCACTAATGATATACACAGGGTATTCATGCTTCAGTGCAACCTGCTGGCTGATGTAAAAAAGAACCTTTCTCGCTTCAGGACACCTATACCATTATTATTGCCGCGAGTCGAAGTTCCTGTCAATCATAACTATTACCTAATTATAAAAATAATATCAAATTATTTGATAATTAAATTTTATTACCGTAGTTCTCAAGGAGTAGATGTATGTGTTTATCAATATCTACTTGTAATTATTTAATATAACTATGAGCATTCCATATTTATTTTATCTGTTATGAACTACGTATATGTATTTCAGATATTGATGGTATGATGCGACGATGTAATGATGATACGATACAATGACCTTGTCAACAATGCAAACTATCATTGAGTCAAATGCTACCTGGCAATTTTCATACTAATTGTTAGATCATTATTTACCCAATCAATTTTCTAGGGTTTTTTAATAACGTTTTCCGGTTACGACAGGGAGCAAATGGCGAATGTGATAGGTCGACAGGGGATACTCTTTTCTTCATTCCATCTGAACCCACCTCTCATCTATCAAGAAGTCCGCGTTTGCTCTGCTCCCATATAGTTAATGCAAACTTCACTTTTCAGGGATAAATGCCTTATGAAATTGATTTTGAATACACTATAAAAATTTTACGCTGTGCATATCTACTTTCCTTATTGTGAAGTTCATAAATAATGATGTATACAAAGAAGAGAAGAAATATTTTAAGACAATATGTATTTCGCCAAACAATAATCATGGCAAATCTGGGGTTTATTTAGTTTCAAAGTATTTTTTTCTTTTCTTACAAGATCTCCTCATTATTCAAAAAAACCTCTTATCTTTAAAATATATTTTGCATCAGAATCTGCTTTTTAAAGCTTGACACACAATGATTTTCACCACTGGCTATAAAGGATGTCCAACTTTACTTCAAAAACAGGAACCATTCTTTCTAAATTTATATATCATACGATTCTTTGTCCTACAAAGATATCTGGACATACAATTTAGGATCTCTTGCCTCTTGCTTTACAAGCTAGGATCAATTGCATTTGGCTTTATAAACAAGGTCTTTTACCTCTGGTTTGTATAAACTAGGATCTCTCGACTATTGCTTTACAAACTAGGATCTCTTGTCTCTCGTTTTGCAAACCAAAATCGCTTGTCTCTCTCTTAGGATTTCTTCTTGTCTCTATTATTACATATTAAAATGTCTTATCTTTGGTTTCACAAACTAGGCCCTCTTGCCACTATTCTTGGCAAGGTATAATAATCTCTTGACTAAGGCTTTACAAAGTAGGATTTCTTGTCTCTGGGCTTACAAGTTAGGATTTCTTGCCTCTGGTTTTACAAAGAAGGGTATTTTTTTTTATCAAGTTCTCTTGCCTCAGGATTTATAAACAAGGATTGTGTTTTTGAAAACTAGGATCTCTTGCCTCAGGTTTTATAAACAAGGATTGGTTTTTGCAAAATGGGATCTCTTGCCTCTGGTTTTATAAACAAGGATTGGTTTTTGCAAACTATGATCTCTTGCCTCTGGCTTTGCAAACTAGGATCTCTTGCCTTTGCAGACTGGGATCTCTTCTCGCTTGCTTCACAATCTAGAATCTGTTGTCTTCCTCTTTACAAACTACATGTATATATATGTAGAATGTCTTGCTTCTGACTGTACAAACAAGGATCTCTAGCCTTCAGCTTTACTGACTAAAATGTCTTGCCACCAGCTTTTCACTCTTGAATTCCTTCTCTCTGATTAACATTTAGAGTTTTTTCTCTCCCTGCATTGTTTTATAGGATTTTTTCTCAATAGTTTGAAGCAGTACGACTTGACTTGTCTTTCTTGTGTGACCCACTTACATCCTTTGTTGTGTCATGTTGTAAATTTTAAATTTTTCATTGGGTAGCGGTAAAAGCAACATGACAACATTTTGAATAAAAATTTACATCATGACAATTGGCTTGATATGAAAGTATTCAGCCTTTTCAGGGTTGATACACTACGACCACGTCTTTCTTGCTGCATGATGCACTAGGATTCCATATCTTTATAGTTTAGTGTGTTGATATACCTTATCTCATTAGCTTGTTACCTGTATACTGACACAGTCTTTCTTTGATATTTATTTTGATTACTAGTTGACCGGATACCATTACTGTGCCAATATTTTCTTTGACTACAGTACCTCATAATAAACAAAGCATACCACAGTAGCCCCTGTTTCTGATACACGTCTTCGTATTTGACTTGGTGTGAAGTGATTAGTGGCATAATGTTGTTAAAGCAAAAATGCGATCGCTTACTTATCAAAAGAAAATTGATATTTTTATACAATAAAACAACTTCTCTAACAGAGTTTGAAAGTTTAAAAGAATAACAAACGAATAGCTTTTCGCTTCAAAGCTTAATTGATCTATGCATTTCACTTTCACGTAAAAAGCATATTAACCATCCCATGACTTACATAATTTGACAGTAAAATAAAGGTAGTACAGACAACTAATGGGAATAGTTACATGTATACAGACTGAAGGCTTGCATCTTATTTCTAACAATGTTTCAAAAAAGCACCATAATTTCCTGCGCACCAAATAAAAAAGTAATATATCTAGAAATTAAATAATGAATTTGGTTTCGATTTCCCTTTATTAGAGATATAGTTAATGGTTCTTGTGTCCATGTGTTAGACATTAGAATTATTTTCTTGTTGTTAGACTTCAGTAAGGAATGACCACTACTTGTTAGCTACTTGGCAGAACAGTTAGACATATGCGCTCTTTTTATTCCGAGCCTAAAATGCTTCCTGTGCTAGTCTCAGATCACAAAAAAATACTTTGAAACAGGTTGGTACTTTGAAAACCAAACAATTTTATCTAAATACTTCGTTGCAATTTTATTTTTATAAAATAAATATAAGAATCCTCTTTATTTATTTTTTAAATAAGAAAAAATAAGATAGAATATTTAGTGACCATATAAAGGACTCTTCTACCACAAAAATTATATCACGATTCCTTTTTAAATACAGACGTACAGATTGATGTAAATGCATTCATTTTTTTCCCGAAACTTGACGTCCACTATGAATTATGTTTTCTTCTCTTTTTATAATCCTTGCATTTTTAATTAAAAGAAAGCATCTTCTCTGGATCTTACCTCAGTATGAAGTTGTCGTAACATTTTATGGTACAATTTGAGCTGATTATGAATCTCGCACCCAACACTATCCTCGTCACTGTCACTACAACTCTCCCCATTCTCATCGTGAATCCGTATTTGTAACGGTCTCTCCATGTTTTCAAAAATCACAAACTTTACTTCACAAACACAACTAAGTTTTTATCCTTATTGCCATGTTGCTTAAGTTCGATTCACATATTTTTCGCATGGTATTGAATTTTTCTTGTTAGAAAGAATGTCTGGTTTTTACGGAGACTGATGACAAACATCCATAAAATGAGTAACGCATACCCACTTTTTAAGAAAGCTTTTAGCTCAAGACAAGTATAATTTGTTTATGAACATTGCACCTGTACATAGTCCTGCCACTCTAAACAATATGTGCACGAGCAGTCGAGACCTTCTGTTTTAACCCTCTTGACAACAACTGCATCCTTAAAAAACTTGTCAATCGTCTAACACCGCAAGTAGTGATAAAATGTACAACAGAGATCTAACTCTTTTGATGTAGACCAGAGGTATGCAATAGAGTTTCAGGGATGCCACACAAATTCTACCACTGAGCAAATCTTCATTAGGTCTTGGCAGACAGGGGTAATTACATTTAGAACATAACCCTTCAATGAGTTACAAGCCCCCGACTCAGGCAGGAGATTCATAAAGCCAGCTCGTCATCACAATGCATAATTTTGTTTGTCCTCTTTGTATTAGCCTGCTGCTAGTCCTTTCCCTCTCGCAGCACCATCATTTTGATTTATATGTGCGTGGTCTCTCAGCCAAACAGTCCACGTACTCTGTCATTAAAATATACAGTTTGCTTTATCGGGAATCATCAGTGCTTGCAGCCCCACATAAAGGTTTTTGATGTCTAGTTTGCAATGGATTAATCCAATGCAATTACAGAAATATATTAGAACGGATTTAATTCCCAAGTTAGCCATAAAATGATAGGTACCATGAAAGTTAGTATCTTTGCCATCTAATATTATGTGACGCATTAATAAACACAAAACATGAAACACCAGCAAAAGCTTTTATCGACAGAGGAACTTGTATGCAATTTCTGACATGTCTACCATAAAGATATGTTGAACTTTGTTCATGTATATAGTTTTCTTGCCCCTTTTATTTAAGCTTTGCCTATTTTTTGATTATAATAAGAATATATTTAGAGTCGTAGTGAACTACTAACATTAATATATGTAATTGATTCCTACGAGTTATTGAAAACAAAAGAACAAAGAGAAGTACATGTCAGGCATAAGGGGGAGCAATAGAGGGAGATAATTATGATATTGGCGAATTCTTACTTTTCTCTGGACGCTAATTTGAGGAGGAAGTTCCCTAGAAGAACAGCGGGTGTCAAGTGGTTCATTAATAAACCCACCACAGAAAAGAAGTAAGCTGGTGCTGTTATTAGTTATATTTACCGTAATTTTATTACACTGATGGCGATGTAAACAACTGTATGATGTTGTTTTAAAGTATGCATGACTAATGTTTAACTGTTGTGTTTTTTCTTTTACTTTCAGATCATATGTCAACTTGTTTTGATCAACCTCAGGCCAAATATGGACCTCTTTGTCTAACTAGCTATCAATACATAAAACTACACAGTTCTGTTTTATTTGGCATGAGAAATATAAAATTAAACAATGAAATATATGCGAAAAACCAACAGTATTCAAGCTCAAACGTCCATTTAAAAATACGAATCAAGAGCATGACAAACACGGACCTCAAAAACGTTAGATTAAGTGCCACGAAGGAGTGATACTCATTTAAAATACCAACTTACTTACTGCATATTCACTTCCAAAGAAAAGGAATTATAAACAATAAATATTTATAATAAATTTAAAATATCACAATATATCTTTTTGAAATTTTAATTTCAGTGGAAAACAAACACAAAGAGTGCCACTGCTCACTCAATAAAAGTAACAAGGTAACAATGAAAATTATGCCAACCTGGGTGACGTTTAATGTATCAATGACGTAAGCTGCTGGCATTTGAGTCAGACTAAATGATAGCAATAGATGTAACGTTAAACTGTTAATTAAAGCAGCACTCGCTGTAAAATCATTTTTATAATCTAATTTATTCAGTGAATGAATAAAAAGTTTGTCTTTGTTATTTCACCTTGTAATGAGTAACGATATCGTTACACAATAAATGAAAGGGTTATACAATGTAGAGTCATATAAGTGCATTTATCACGAGGAAAATTACTTTATCCCCCCTCCCGTACAATTTGAACAAAAATTTAATCAAACTATACAAGATCTGACACATAACAAATTTCAATATTTTTTTTCAAAGTTTAACTTAGTGCAGTAAATAAAAAACAGTCATAATTTTTAACCTCATCGTCTCGTTTTTAAAATGAGTCAAATCAACTGCGGTATCTGTATTGTTCAAAGAATATTCAAAAAGCAGACTTAGGATACCCAAACTATTTTAGAGTCAATGCACGATGTTTTCGTTATCTTTAGCGATGATTGGTTAAGACACAATTTTGGATGCAGCTACCTATCGAGGCATGAAATCGAGTATTCTTGCTAGATCTGCCGATGTGAAAAGATGATATTTAGCGAATCATTGTGAGCGAGCAGAAGTTGGTATAATTAAACAACTTCTATAATAGCTTGAATAAGTGGGGGAAATAAGCAATTTAGATGCACCATGAAAAATCAACAAAGTATATGATAGATACACACTTGTAGTATACGTTATGTTTCGTAAAATTAATTAAATATATCGAAATATATTTGTTTCCACACTTGCATTTAATTACTGAAATCAAGGTTATGATTTTGTTGTTCAGAATTTAGCAAAAAAAAAAAATAATAATAAAATAAAGAATATGATAAAGTAATTTTGAGTTTAAATTAAAAAAAAAAGGACAAAGATATTAATTCGACGTTTAATAGAAGTAAAAACTTGTGTAACTATAAGATCCTGACATCAATACATCACCATACAATACTATCAATGAGCTGTATTTTGACTATCTTGTTTCATACCTTTTTTCAGGCCTTTGATTTGACACTGAATTCGAATGGGGAAAAATATGTCTGCCAAGTCAATACATTTCTGACGGCTCAACAAGGGATGCTCACTTATATAAGGTACCTGATTCCACCTATGTGATTTCCTGGGCTCTGTGTTTTTGCCCTATTCCCATATGTGCATCGCTTATGAAGTTTGTGAAGTGGATTGAATGTTCGCTATCTCTTTCACATTTAAGTACTATTGTTCGGTGGAATCGTCCTTATTACATATAAAATAATCGAGTTTAAGGGGTGTAAGGGTTTCAAAGTTATTTTATTTTCTTACTTTATAAAGGTAGAACTTATGAAAATATTATAAGCCAATTTAACTTCCCCGAATTTCTTTTGTTTTATGTCCAATGACATTAATTAAAAATTTATAAAGAGTCCAAAATATTATCATGTTGTAAATTATGAATTTACTGGGGAGGGGGGGGGGGTAAATGCAAAATTTACATTATGATAACTGGTTATCATGTTGTAAATTTTGCATTTACCTACCCCTAGTAAATTCAAAATTTACAACATGATAATATTGTAAAATCATACATTATTACCAGAGGCACACATCATATGAGGGAATCTCAGTGTAGTATTATCCAATAACAATAATATCAATTAATTTGGTGTGTTATGAATAAAGCATCAAGGGATTTCATGTGTAAAAACAAAATAAATAAATGACAGACCACGGCATCTGATAATTCATTCTCATCATTTAATGTCCTTAGTGGCTCATGCCCTCGAAGACCGATCGGTTAGTACATGCATAATATTATCATAGAGATGAAATATGTTACAAAAATTGAATAATTTTCATTCCAGAGATTGTTTAATTGGAATTTAGAGTAATTTATTTTGTATGAAATTATGTTGCTAAATTTTGCAACACGAGTCATTAATTGATAGAAATTTTCACTCTCATTTTAATAAACTCCTTACCTGAACCTTTACTGGGACGTGTATTGAGAATCTGGGCTGCATTAATTCCGAGAAACTCGGTCGCCCATTATTTGCCATTTTGCAACTTTACAAAGAGTTATTCCGAGATGAATGAAACTGGAAAATGTTTAAGAAAACTCCAAAGGTATCTCCGTACTTAAGCATCGTGCGGATAATTCTCATAAATAAATGATCATTGTACAAATTACGGTTATATAGGTGCGTAATTAAGAGACAAATTCCAGATGAAAGATCTGCAATGAATTACGACCATTTAATTCCGTTCTTGAGTGGCTTTATCGCGCAACCATCGGCCCTGTCCGGTTACATTTCTGTTTCTCGTGTTTGATCCGCGGCCAGTGGCCATCGTGGTTCGAACAGAACTTGTTTTTTGTGATCACTTCCTGATCACGTTTACCAGAAGAAGGTCTGGAAGCTGGCGGTAGTGCACCTCGGCCAGAAATGACAAATGTCTATTAATCTGTTTGTCTGCGTGTGTTAACGTTCTCTGGTCTGTCAGAAATGATTGAGGATCTTCATTCAGGGAACAAAAATGAGAAAACCAAGATCAGATTGATTTGTTTTTTGTTTACTTCATAATTTGTACATGTTCATATATCTATATTTTGGAGGCAGGACAGATAAATCAATGTAAATCTTTTGTATATTGACAGATTTCATAGATAGTTAATTCTGTCTTGTCGACAATTTGCCATTTCTTCCGAGGTATTTTTTAAAACAAATTTTATGTTATACCAGATAAAGTTTTCAACAGTTCAAGTATTTTTGATATGCCTTGTCATACAAACATTCATGTAACATAAACTTAGAAATGACCTTTGAAACAATTTGCTGTTTTTCATGTACTTATTGTGAAATGAGGATATAATTATTTCAAAGTAAGTTAAAGCGTAAAATTCAATTCTGTAACACAGTTGAAATGAATGAAAATGACGAGGCTTTAAAACTCTCACCAATATGTATCAGCCTATATTGTTTTTTTGAAAAAAAAAATCTAGAATAGTTTCTTGCTCTTTTTTTTTTTAAAGAAGAAGAGTCATGGTCGAAGAAAAGATCAAGATTAAAAAAAATATATAATTGCATTTTCATACATGTATCTCTTATTAATTTGT